ATTCAACATTTTTGATTTGTATAATAAAAATATTTCTTCTGCTCAGCATTTGGATTCTTTTATGTAAAAATGCTTTAATAATTAAACTTTAGTCATTTGATATGTGTAGATTAGAGGGATATTATCATATGTTATATAATTATTATATAAGGAATGTTCTCAGACTGTGAATGACTATGATATATTTTTTATCTAGCTGCTAAAGCCCCACCCCCAGTGACTGCTACAAAAACCTCTCCCGCCCAACCAACCCCGGAATTGTCTCCAAACATTGCCTCAAAAGAAATGGACTTTGGATTAGGAAAAGGAAAACCCAATCTTCGAGTTGTCATTCCACCGAAAACAGATGTAAGACTACAGATTTTTACATGTTGATTGACATCAGTCTTAAATTAGTATTTTGATTAAAAGGAGTAGTTTTGATATCAACCAGCTCAAAGTGAACTTTTGTATTGTGATAAATTTTGTATATTTTATTCAAAATATTAAATGTATTAAAAGCTGGCTAATAAGAAATGCCAAAATGTAAAGGATTTGTTAGAATTGACATGTAGCTTTATATTACAGACATCAGCTGCTAAAACACAATCCACTTCCCTCGACACACCACAGGTTTCTCAGGCCACACCCAGTACACAGTTAGCTTCAGTTCTCCCTTCAGCTCTCTTACCCAGTAAGATATAAATTTGAATTGTGACACAGAGAGCAAGAGTATAAACTATGCATATCAGTATACTGTTCTACCTTTGGTCTGATACATTTGTATTAATTTCAATATATATTTTCCCAAGTAATCAGGTTTTCTGGAAAGAATATACTTTTGAAAGGGAATGGCCTTTTTTTCCTCACTTATGAACTTAAATGAATACTGTTGTATGAAATTGCAGGTGATTTACAGATAAATAGTGCTGATTTAGCAAAGCTACTGGGCTCAGCAGCCTTTGGAGGAGGTGACGCTCTACCAGGCCCTCTAACGGCAGCTGTACAGGCATCAGGAATATCACTTACACCAAGGTAGGGGAGACAAAGGGATTCATGTGTTATTTCTGGAAGTTTCTTTGATTTACTTAAGTTGTCAAGTGAATTTCTGTATGTAAAAAAAGGGGGGAGACAATAACGATGAAATACATATGCATACATATTTAATTTTTGTTCAGCACATTTAAATGTACTTTATAGTAACTATATCCTTGTACAGTAATAAATCAGCTGTAACAATTGGTCCTTTTTCTTTCTTAATGATATTTTATATACAAGATTAATAATTTTCAGTGGATTAACACCCACCACCAATATACAGAGCCTGCTGATACCATTTTCACATGCTCAAGCACTCCAGATGCAGCTAGCGGGGAAAAATGTCAAAGCAGAACCCACGTCACCACCAGACAAAGGGGGATCATCAGAGGATGATGGGCCTCCAGAAAAACAGCCACGTATGTCATCTGACCGATGACAATAACTATTTGTACAGTGTAGATAGTTTGGGAATCTTGTATAATGTAATATGCACAACATGTAATAGTTTTTTTCCCCTGCTGTGTTTATTTCTGTGTAAGTTTCAAGAGGCCTATGAACATTTTGTATTCAAAATACACATGAAGTGTGTATAAATTACACATTAACACTTGAGATTCTGTATAGTAAAGGATAAGGTATGGTAAGGCCCCCTTTAACCCTAAAAAGACCATATGAAGTGGAGTGAGTGTTGTGCAAAATCTGAGTCTGTACTGAATAACTCTACGTGTAATGAAGTAATCTTAGGAAATGTCAGACTTTCTAAATATTGATTTAATACAACAAAACAATTTAATTAAGCTATGACTCTTAGATTTGCTTATTTAATTATAAATGAAAAAAAGTTTTGACCTATTTACATGTGAAGATTTACAGATATTTAAATAAAAACATCTTGGCTTGGACTTTTTCCATGAATATTCTTTCATTCAAATTAGCTCAACCCACCTGTTTTCTTTCATTATGATAGATGAAGAGTTGTTTTCAGTGCTGAAATTAATTTTGCATATGGTGCATGGTAGTCATTTGATGAGTTGATGATATTTTTCAGAATTAACCTTTTTGCAAATCCTCTGTAATTGTGTAGAAATTTGGATAAATGTGGTATATAATTTAACATAATTTTTCATCTGGTCTATCATTTTGGTGGAGATTTGTTTATGCTCTAAAGTCTTATATTCAGCATCTTTGAAGTTGAACAACAAAAAAAATTGTTTTAAAATGCTTAAATGTTATTATAAAAAGACTTGCCTCTGAAGAGATTAAATAATGGTTATTGGGTTGTTTACAAACCCAAAAACTTGTCAAATCCATTGGTATAGTGTAGGATAATAAGTACTGTTAGTTTTGCAAAATTAAAGTTTCTTTATCTCTATAATGCGAAAGTATGTGGACAATTTTTGTCAAAACCTGTGGTACATTTTAGCATGTATTAGCTAAACAATATCCCAATCATGTATAACATTTCCAACTTCGCAAAATTTTATTTGTATCATATGTAAATACTTTGTGATGTGAAATTCATCAGCTTTAAGAAATCCAATGTATACATTGTACTAGCCTTCTAACAAGAATTGTTTTACTGGTAAATGTGATTTTATCAGGCCGAGAAATACATGTTAGTATTGGATTAAATTGAATGTTTACATGTGTGGTTTAACTGTTATACCTATTTTGATCAATTTACATTTATCACTTTTAACCATTTGTTTATCATTCATTCACATTTGATTCAGTTAAAATTAAATTATTATAACAACAGGTATTATTGTAAATGCATGGAATATTTTGTTTCATTTTATGAATTATCAGTATTTTTCTCTTTTTTTGCACTATTTCATAACTTGCACCAAAATATTCCAAGCAGATAATTTCATTCACTTGGCACTAAAAGCATAGTGTATATTGTCTTGTTTTCACGGCAGTTATTTTCACATTTTACATAAATTAATGATGAATATGATATATGATTATTCACTAAAGAGATTTGTAAAAGAACCTCAAATTCTAAATGGAGTAAAAATAGATTTTGTTTTAATAGAATATATGTAAATAATCATGATTAAATTTAAATCAACATACAGTAATTAAGTGATAGTTAAGGACTTGAAATAAAATTTCCATAAAGGTTTTTGTGTTTTAAAGGTTTTTCTAAAAGTGTTCTTAAATTTGGATTGTTTTGATAGAATTTATTTGATATTGCATGTTACAACATAAACATAGCCGTGTCTTGTAAGAGGTTTGGCATCAGTTGAAGGTGTCAGGTTTCAGATTGGTATAGCTAAATCACTTGTCATGTGTCTCTTGTATACCGGTAAAATATAACATTGACAAAATCAATTTATCCAAGACTTTCCATCAAGTATTAGGAATACATGTATATATTTTATGTCCATTTGTAAGACACTATTTGCTAGAGTTTGATAATTCATCTGTGGAAGTTTAGTCAGAATGGCAGGAGGATTAAATGCAGGTTGTGATTGCAATGTTCATGTTTATAATCCTTTCTTGACATGCAATGTTAATTTTCTGACATAATAGATATTCCTCCTCAAACTGTGCTTGATAGGGTTAAATCACCTAGAAGGTAAACTTGTTTCTTTTTACAGATAGAATTGTTTTAGATTGATGTGCCATTTTTCATGATATTCATAGAAAAGTATATCATTTTGAAATCATGGTATTTTTGTTTAGAGGATATGTATATGCAATAAAATAATCATTTTTGAAAAACATTGTAATGTTATATTTTTAATTTTGGTGCAGAATCATGGACCATGGGGCTAGAATTGGGCCATAATATGGGATTTCTGAAAAATCTTCCTCTTAAGAACTAGGCTATGAGTAATGATATTAATATGCTACTACACTTGGGTAATTCAGGTTCAATTTTGTTCAGGTCATGATGCCTAGGGTGGAGCTAAAATAGGGGAGCAAAGTTTTACATCAAGATGTATAGGAGAAAATCTTAAAAAAAAAAAATTCAAGATTGGCAATGTCATAAATAGTCATATTACTAAGCAAGAATCCTCCTTTAGTACAGATTGAAGTTCAAATCATGGCTCAGTGGTGTTGAGTAGGGCCACAATTGTGTGGAGTCAAGAGTTCTGAAGAACAGCAAGATCTAGTTTACTCAGGTGAGTGTTGTGGCCCATTAGCCTCTTGTTTGAAATCAAATTTACTTTTCTCAGAAACCAATTCTCTTAAACCATTTTTTAAAATATTAACAGATTAGTATACTAGAATTGTAGTCTTCAGATTTTTTTATTATATTCCTACTGTCAGGTGTTAACGCTCTGCAAACTTGGCACAAATACTAGAACAGTTAAGATTGTGACAAACATGCTGGCAAAATACACAATAAAGGAAGCCTTGTCTACTGTCTCAGCCACGTAGCACCACTGTTGTTTCCTGACCGAACAATCCGAACTGACTTTGGATATGGGCTTTGGAGTCGACCTGTTATTCACATTGTTCTGGGAAGTGGACAGGGTTTTGTTTGGCGTGTTTTCGCTTTGTATAGCTCTCCGGTATGACTGTCTGTTTTTGAGAGTTCGTCTATAGGATAAAGCACTGGCTACGACCCCATTGTGGGACATGTCCTTATTATCAATGTTAGGTGAAAGGTGGATAGATAACGCATCTTCTTCATCCATATCCTCTTCAAATTCATGAAGTAAGTAATCTAAGGAAGCCCATGATGCTGTTGAATCAATAGTCTCAACTGGCTCCTCGTCATCATCACAGAGGTTGTATCTATGGAAACGAGACTCCGGTGGTGTACAGGTAATTTTCCCCAGAATCTGCTTGCAGACCCATAACATTATGGGTGGTACTTTGGGGACTGGTTTGAGTGTTGATCGTCTCTTTATACTCATTACCAGCGTTGCCATTATCAAGGATATACAGTTGAGGGTCATTACCAGAAAGAGGAAGACACCTATAGGAAAACGGATAAGTTATTATTGATACAACTTAGATGATAATGAATATGATTTGCTAACTTCATTTGTCTTAACTAAGCATGGCACTCGGTGATCGTAAAGTGTCTGGTATATACCTAGTACTAGTGAATTATAAATATGTGTCTGGTATGTACCCACTAACCTGCTCTGAGCAAGACGAACTACCCAGGACACCTACCCAGGACACCCAGGTTGCATGTTCTAAGTACTAAGTGGTATACAATCCAGAAATTTGTATTAACTTCAGTCAAAGAAAAATTGTCTCTGATATAATTGTGTCTGGAAAGAACCTCAAACAATATTTGTTTTGAAATTGTGTCTGGTGCGTACTTAAGGTGGAATATCCCTCTTATAAGCGAGATATTTGTGTTTGTTGCGGACCCAGAACTGATGTTTAATTGTGTCTGGTACCTACCTAGAATTCGTGTTGTATTTGTGTCTGGTACCTACCTAGAACTGGTGTTGTATTTGTGTCTGGTACCTACTTAGAACTCCTGTTGTATTTGTGTCTGGTACCAACCTAGAACTGGTGTTGTATTTGTATCTGGTACCTACCTTGAACTGGTTATGTATTTGTGTCTGGTACCTACCTAGAACTGGTGTTGTATTTGTGTCTGGTACCTACCTAGAACTGGTGTTGTATTTGTGTCTGGTACTTACCTAGAACTGGAGTTGTATTTGTGTCTGGTACCTGCCTAGAACTGATGTTGTATTTGTGTCTGGTACCTACCTAGAACTGGTTTTGTATTTGTGTCTGGTACCTACTTAGAACTGGTGTTGTATTTGTGTCTGGTACCTACCTAGAACTGGCATTGTATTTGTGTCTGGTACCTACCTAGAACTGGTGTTGTATTTGTGTCTGGTACCTACTCAGAACTGATGTTGTACTTGTGTCTGGTACCTACCTAGAACTGGTTTTGTATTTGTGTCTGGTACCTGCCTAGAACTGGTGTTGTATTTGTGTCTGGTACCTACTCAGAACTGATGTTGTACTTGTGTCTGGTACCTACCTAGATCTGGTATTGTATTTGTGTCTAGTACCTACCTAGAACTGGTGTTGTATTTGTGTCTGGTACCTACCTAGAACTGGTGTTGTATTTGTGTCTGGTACCTACCTAGAACTGGAGTTGTATTTGTGACTGGTACCTATCTAGAACTGGTGTTGTATTTGTGTCTGGTACCTACTCAGAACTGATGTTGTACTTGTGTCTGGTACCTACCTAGATCTGGTATTGTATTTGTGTCTAGTACCTACCTAGAACTGGTGTTGTATTTGTGTCTGGTACCTACCTAGAACTGGTGTTGTATTTGTGTCTGGTACCTACCTAGAACTGGAGTTGTATTTGTGACTGGTACCTATCTAGAACTGGTGTTGTATTTGTGTCTGGTACCTGCCTAGAACTGGAGTTGTATTTGTGACTGGTACTTACTTAGAACTGGTGTAGTATTTGTTTCTGGTACCTACCTAGAACTGGTGTTGTATTTGTGTCTGGTACCTATCTAGAACTGGTGTTGTATTTGTGTCTGGTACTTACCTAGAACTGGTGTTGTATTTGTGCCTGGTACCTATCTAGAACTGGTGTTGTATTTGTGTCTGGTACTTACCTAGAACTGGAGTTGTATTTGTGTCTGGTACTTGCCTAGAACTGGTGTTGTATTTGTGTCTGGTACTTACCTAGAACTGGTGTTGTATTTGTGTCTGGTACCTATCTAGAACTGGTGTTGTATTTGTGTCTGGTACCTATCTAGAACTGGTGTTGTATTTGTGTCTGGTGCCTACCTAGAACTGGTGTTGTATTTGTATCTGGTACCTACCTAGAACTGGTGTTGTATTTGTGTCTGGTACCTATCTAGAACTGGTGTTGTATTTGTGTCTGGTACTTACCTAGAACTGGTGATGTATTTGTGTCTGGTACTTACCTAGAACTGGTGTTGTATTTGTGTCTGGTACCTATCTAGAACTGGTGTTGTATTTGTGTCTGGTACCTATCTAGAACTGGTGTTGTATTTGTGTCTGGTACCTACCTAGAACTGGTGTTGTATTTGTATCTGGTTCCTATCTAGAACTGGTGTATTTGTGTCTGGTACCTACCTAGAACTGGTGTTGTATTTGTGTCTGGTACCTACCTAGAACTGGTGTTGTATTTGTGTCTGGTACCTATCTAGAACTGGTGTTGTATTTGTGTCTGGTACCTACCTAGAACTGGTGTTGTATTTGTATCTGGTACGTTCTCGGCAATTAGAAGTTGTAGGACATAAAGAGTGAGGAATACAGTCAAACCTATGGCTATCTTCTCTCCATGGTGACACGGCAGCCAGAAAGATGCCAAGGTCAAAATACAAAGCATGATTGTTGGGGCTATTACAATATAGTCATAATAAATGGATTTCCGTTTGATGGTCATTTGAAAATGGATGATTGGGTGAGAGCCTGTTCCCGGGCAACATGTCTCGTCTACCTTTTAAAAATAAAAATAGTAAAATTTTGTATTTTATCATGAAAAAAAATCTCAAAAATATGTAAATGAATGGTAGCAAGTGTCATGTGAAGCACATGTCATGCGAAAATATTTGACCATATTGAAGAGTTAAGTAGGCATTAAATGGTTATCTTATACAAAAGTAATTACACAGGGTTTGCAAACAGATTATTCTGTCTGTTGATGATGCACGAAATTGCCAAATATCATGAACCTAAGCTTTATTTCACTCATCAAAATAAGTGGGTCGTCTCTGAGGTCAAGGTCATATGTGGGATATAGTGGTTCAAAGCACATCATGATCACCCTTAGACCAAATATTACTTTGACGGGATTCCTTTCTAGACTCCCCCCCCCTCCTAATTTTACCCTGAAGCTTATGTACAGGTAAAGCTTGACTGGATACAAAGCAGTTGATGTTTAACAAGTACATATGATGTTGCTTAGCATAGCAATTAAAGAATGTTAAATACGGTTTATCACAACTGAGGCTTTAGTCGTTTTTTTTCAATGCGTAAACAATTCTGTTAACAGACAGTTTAAAGTTAAAAATCTTCACTTGTCACATTCTTGAAATAGCTGAGATAGAATGAAAAACCAGTGATTCATTGCTAAAAGATACCATATCTTTGAAGCTGTCAGAGAGCTTGTATCAAGTATATAGCATGAAGGACCCAGTATCAAGATGATTATAAAATGAGGTGAAGATATGATATGTTATTACCATAGTTCTGTATAAATTCACACCCAGGAGATCAAATTCATTATTCAGTATGTATTGCTGCAGGTTCGGTTTTTTGGACAGAAGTTGCAAGTCGACTTTAGTGACGTCATAAATCCAAGACCCAAAATGGATTTCACACGTCTGCTGGTCGTATGGAAAATACGTCACATCTACGGGACAGGAACTCTTTATCATCAAGGGAACTGTCCATGTGACCATACCAGAATTCTCTATAAGAAGTTTGCTTCCGGTTACGTTCACAAACCCCTCTGCGTGTCCACCAGCCCTTGTAGAGTACCCAAAAATATACTAATAAATGGACATTATCACTTAAAGCGAAACAATCTATTATGCGGAAAGATCGACTTACGTATTGAAGATAAACACGTCCGGTAACCATAGTTCAGTGGATGACACAATCAGTCGTGTTGTGTTTTCATATTTCTCCGGCTCCCATGTCAAAGATTCATCATGCCAAATCTGTGACATGTTAGAATTTTTGGGACCATTAAAGAAATAGTATAAAATGGTCGTTTCTAGTACTAGTATCATATGTGGGGATATATTATAAATACATTACCGTAAATAATGTAAGAGGCAAATTTTGAAGAACGATTAAGTGGTAAATTTTACTTCTTGTATAAAAAAGGAAACATAATTTATGAATATATATTAAAATTCGTATATTTATTTATTTATTATATACATGTAGTTATTTATTTATTTTTGTTTAGTTTAACTTTGTATATTTGTTTTTCCCCCCATTTTTACAAAGTAAAAGGACTGGTACTTACTTCTTTTACCCACACAGACGTGGTTATGATCTGTTTCTTTTCATCCTAAAAACAAAAATAAATGTTCATCTCTTTAAAGTTGATGCAATGAAAATGATTTATTGGTATTTAATGAAACATTTTTTTTAAGGAATCAGCAAAGCAGACCACCAAAAAGCATGAGTTATAACAAAAAAAGACAACACAGCACACATATAGCCAGTTATAGCAATTAAGAAGTTCTTTCGAGTACTCTTCGACTTCAGTGAGCAAAAGTGGGAAACAGTAGCTTGAACAATCTGCCATATGGTTGGGTAATATGCCTACTGCTGGAGAACTTACCAAGTCAAGGATCTGATTGAGTGATATGCCGACAGCTGGAGAACTTACCAAGTCTAGGATTTGATTGAGTGATATGCCGACTGTTGGAAAATTTACCAAGTTTAGAATGTGATTGAGTGATATACCGACTGCTGGAGAACTTACCAAGTTTAGAATCTGACTGAGTGATAAGCCGACTGTTGGAGAACTGGCCAAGTTTAGGATCTGTTTGAGTTATATGTCGACTGCTGGAGAACTTACCAAGTCTAGGATCTGATTGAGTGATAGCCGACTGCTGGAGAACTTACCAAGTCAAGGATCTGATTGAGTGATGTGCCGACTGTTTTGAACTTACCAATGTAAGATCTGATTGAGTGATATACCGACCGCTGGAGAACTGACCAAGTCTAGGATCTGCTTGAGTGATATGCCGACTGCTGGAGAACTTAAACGGTCTAGGATCTGATCGAATGATATGTCGACTGCTGGAGAACCTACCAAGTCTAAGATCTGGTCGAGTGATATGCCGACTGTTGGAGAATTTATCATTCTAAGATCTGATTGAGTGATGTGCCGACTGCCGGAGAACTTACCAAGTCTAGGATCTGATTGAGCGATATACCGAAGTTTACGGTGACAACATCGCTATAGTTTTGGACAGGCCTCGTCATCGAGTTGTATTCCTGAAATAATTCCCGCAGCAGACGCTTTTCCGGGAAGCCAACACTTTCCCCTGGATAATATATTTATTTGTTATACCTTTAAAAATTTGTTCTCATATAAATCAATACTAAAAAAAGTCTAAAATTTCCAATGTTTTCCTGAGCGGGCATAAAAAAAACTACCGAGTGAGATATTGGACCTGTCCATGAGATATTGGACCGCTTACGTCACGTAATGGGCGGGGTCAGCTAAATTTCATCTGCATTCGTTGACGTTCGACATAAATGTATGTCACAAAATAATAAAATAAATAAATAAAAGGTATAACAAAACAATTATGGACTGCGTTCTCGGGCAAAATGAGTTTTGTCGACCCCTCGAACCAAACTGTTTGGTTCTTGGGTCCGACAAAATGCATGTTGCCCTCGAACCCAGTCAATAAATGTATAATATTTCTAATCATCAATTTTTTGTAAGGAAATGCTTTGCAGCAGTTCTGTTGAATTTCGCCTTTTAAAATAATCATACTTATTTCATTTAATTTTGTGATTATTTTTTACTTTAGAAATTGAGATGGTACGGCTTTGTTTCATTTCGCATTTCGTGTTAAACTGTTATAATACAAATTTCATAATTTTTTCTAGAAACTGGCAAGAAACGGTTTTGTTGAATTCCGTCTTTCATGTTACAAAGTTATTAGCTTATTTGACAACTTTCACCCAATTTTTTTCTTATAGAAAGGTATCGAACGGTTCTGATAAATTGCGCATTTCAAGTTAATTAGACAAATTTCATTATAATTTTATCTGATAGCATATGTACTGTAGACTTTTTTTTCGTTTTAGATCAGAGAATTATATTTAACTTTTTGCACAGGAGAATAAATGTAACTGGAACTCTCGATTCATTTTGACAGTGTTATCTCTTTACAAGTCTTCTGGAAGTCAGCGGAGATAATTTTCAGAAGAAATAAGAAATATGTTAATCGTTGAAGATCTCGTCCATGCTTAACAAATATTGAAAGGGGTTCTGAACCCTCTCTCAATAGTATCGAACTTTTCTGTACTTATTATAGGAATCGCCAGTCAGAAGTAATTTTGCTATTCCAATTAATTGCTGCTCGGCCGTGTAATAACTTTGGAAGGGAAAAGGGCCAGGGGTCCTCATAAGGTTATTTACATCGGTAAACAGATTGATCTGGGGAAGAAGTGAATGGAAAATAAAAATCAAATTCCCAGGTTATTGTACAGAGAGAGAAAGAAAGAGAGAGAGAGAGAGGGGAACAGTCATGATTATGTCTACCGGCTTTCTTTGTTTACCTGGCCCCAGGATCATGACTTAAGTCAAATTTCAATCGTCTGTAAAATATTTATTAATTATTGAATTAATCTCTAAATTTGCAGATAAAACACTTTTGTAATGCAATATTGAAAATTATTTTAATTTTGGTCTACTTAATGTCTACAATATTTAGTATTTTAGTACAACATAAAGATTTTGACTTAAGCTTAAGATCTTTCATGATCCTGATGTCTTAAAAATTCATTGCAGTGTAAAACTTATATAAAAAATATAAAATAAACATTGCGGTGTAAAACTTATTTAAAAAAAAAATATAAAATAAACATACTACGGAATCTTTTCAAATTGCCCGAGCAGTATATCTTGTTACAAAGCATCCATTAATCTTTAGGTAAAATATTTAAGCGAACTTTTGGTGAAATATTGGAAATTTTTAGAACTAATTGATGAAAGCTTCAAAATCTGGCAGACATAAGCCCGCTTAATAGGATTGTTAGAAGTTCGTGTTCTTCATCAGTGGCGATTCCTGCTGCGTATATGTTGTGGCACCAACATGCTGATACCATAATGCTATTATTGAAACGGGCATTTCTTTGCTTATGGAACGGAAAATCTCCTCCTCGCTTTAATATAATTTATATATTCGAAAGACAAATCTAGTTCAGATTTTAGCTGAAATAGTTATCTATTAAGCCAGAATTATTTAAAGATCATACATGACGAAATATGAGAAATTATATTACGAAAAATGATGTAAATCTTCATGGAAACTTACATCCCTGAAACAATTAAAAGTCAAGCCCCCCTCCCACCAAAATGAGCAAATATAATTTTTTTTTAAATATAAATAAATGATAATAAAATAAACAATATCAACTTAATTTAGAGAATACACAAACAAACGAAAAGCAACGCAAGCAAACAGAGTTCTTTTTTCCCCTCTGTGCGTGTTGTTTTATCTTTCGGTCAGTCAAATTAGATAATATACTCCCTGTCTTATTTCAGACAAAAAATGGGCTGATTTAATTTTTACTTACCAAGAACATCATTAATCCAGATGAATATGCACCATAAAGCCACATAATTATTCATCGCTTCAAAAATCGCTTTCTTCTTGCTATAAGGAATCTGGAATGATAGCCCAATCGAACTGATGAAGGCGATGCTTACTGGCAGGCGATCGCAAATTTCTTTAAAGAATCCCGTAAAATGTCGGCAGAAATCACATGGAACGGACGAAGACCTTGTAATGTCCGTATGTTTCCATACTTTTTAATAACTATCAATTATCCATTTTTTAGCTTGGATTTTATTCATGAAAATCTCATCTAGATTATTTTGGCAATCTCTCTTTCTCTCTCTCCAGGTTTACTGGTGTTCTTAAAATTTTACTGGCGTTCTTAAAAACTTAGTATTTTGCATCATCACTATTTTTCCTGATAAATCAACATAATGGACATTGATTGCACTTTACATTTAAAATCAAAATTGCAATTCTGCATAAAGAATGCAAGAAAAATTAATATGATTTTTATTAAAAAAAAAAAAAAAAAAAAAAAAAGTCCACACCTCCAACCCCAACCCCTAATGGAAATCTAGCGTTTCCTGAAATCAAATTTTTTGCTGACTATGACAGACCTAGATATTTGAAAGAGAGGGCCGATATAAAAACATTTTCCGTGTATTAATTACTTCTTACATAGGAGTGGCTTTTTATATGTCTTTGAATTTATTCAGTGACAGAAGCTGGTTCTAAAAGGAACATGGGTTAACCCTGGAAGAGACAGACAAGAGTTTGCTGAGAATTAAAAGAATCCATTGAATGTTTGACGTTCCATCAAAATCATTAAAAATTAAATTGAGTAAACGATATTTGATTCGTGAACTTTGGTAATGATTAGTTCCTTTTCAGTATATCACTGTAATATGTTGCGTATGATAAAAAGTCTATTTTCATGATTTTTTTCCCCACCTATTCCAGGGTAGCTCTGACTATCGTTTAAAAAAAAATAATGGCTTGGATTTAATATATACGAGTATGTACAACACCCAAAGTATGTTAACTTACAATATTAAACTGAAAATATTCTTTTGATGTTACAGCATATATGTAATCAGTAAAGTAACTCTTCTTTTCAAAGATATTTAAAAAAACATGTATTTGCGGATCTATTGCGGAGTTGGAAGTGAGGAGGGGGATCATCTTCGCTAGCCAAGGGTGACGATCCGCTCCTGAGGAGAGGAGCGGATCGTCACCCTTGGCTAGCGAAGATGGAGTGGGACTGGAGTGCTGCCCCTTCCTCCTCCAAGATATTCAGTGCTATTGAATAAACACTGATAATTTAACCACCTTTTCCCCGCAAAAGTAGATCACTGCGAAGACGTTAAGAAAAATCAACGTAAAAAAAGGGGGGGGGGGTAAAAATGGTGGTTTTAGCTCACCTGAGCTGAAAGCTCAGTTAAGGAGTTAAATGTCTTGTTAAGGAGATGGGTGAACAAGGCGTGCAGAGTGCCTATAGCTTCAGATATTTAAAAATCATATTCAATTTTTGAATTTAGTATTTAGAGTATTTGAAGTTCTCATTATTGAAATTTATAAAATTATAGTAAACAAAACTTTTCTGAGGAAAATTTTATCGGCAAAAATTATTCTGTTATTAAAATATAATGTGGTATTCGTGGGGTTCGAACTCTAGCAATAAAAATCCTGAGTATCATTTTCCTTTGAGACCAACAGGCTAACCACTACGCTACACAGCGCCTGATGTATGGTGGCATTTAAATTATGTTTGTGATATGACCCTGACTAAATGGACTTCAGTTTTCTCGGAAAGATGCGAATGTTGTGTTATAAAAGTGTATTTTTAAGGTATAGTGAGTCTTTGCTCCATCTTTTTGTTAATTAAAAAAATGTATTTTCATACCCACTCATATCGAAAAATTGGGTTACAGTAGGAGGAAATGACCCTTTTTGCTCTCTTAAGTGTGTGTATGCTATTTCATAGGCAAATCTTTGTGAGATTTTTGCAAATTGTGGAGATTTTACATAAAGTATACTTTAATTTTAGATGAAATATCAAAGAAAATTTTGTTATAACTGAGATTTAATTTTTCACCTTCATGTCTGTCGCACTAAAGGCATTTCGCTCGCCTTGTTCGCCCATCTTCTTTCCAACATACGTACAAATGTCAATGAACTATTTGCTAACCATTACGTTTTCCCTACAGAACTCTCTTCTGTATTCAAAAGCAATACATGTACTGTTTCTGTATTCATCTTCGAAAGTTTCTTACTCATTTAAATTATATCTAAACAAAATCGATGGATGGAGTTTGAGCCCATTGTGATTTTCCATATCAAGGCTGAAGTTTCACATTTATTTTTCTTCATAAGACACTATCCTGTTGAGCTACAGTGTCTGAGATATATATATATATATATGTACCTTTTCTGTCGAAACAGCTTTTCATTTAGTTGAACTTGTTTATTTCTTGGGGTCGTTTGTATGACAGCCCTAATCTGCTCATAAGAAAATAAGCTTCTATTGCTTTAATTGTAAATGAAAAAAAATTGTGACAGACCCACGAACATACAGAGTTAACGCCTTTATACCTCAAGGATATGGTTACTATGGCAACAAATGCTGAATAAATACAATAAACACACGTCTGTATTTTTAAATTTATTACAAAAAACAACAACAAAGAGCAAATAATCCAAATTATAGAGATTCGTAATCTAAACAGTCCCTTCTTCCTCTAAAAAGAATTGCTTTGTTTCTGACCTTTAAAAATATTATGCCATAAAGTGTACATTTACACAATTGAACATCTATTTGCATAATTATTAATCAATAGAAAATGTTTGGTCTTAAGGAAAATTAACATAATTTGTACATTGAAAGTACATAAATGAAAATATCATAATCTGACAATTTCTAAGCCACTACAAAATAATAAATTGAATGATTATAAACATCAACTTTTCACACAGACTGCTGATAATGCAGTAAGGATAGATTTATAATCTACATGTGATCCTGTCATTACTAACATACTTATGGAAGTTTTGTTTCAATCTTTTCCTTCAGAACTTTTATCACAAATAGTAATTGAAATCACAGGAGTCAAATGGCATTGTTTAAAATCTGTTGGCAATTTACAGGTATTCAAAATAAGTCTCTTGGCCATAAATAGAATTCAAAAATTTAAGTTTGTTGAAAAAATAAATAGGTATCATAATTTTACTCTACTCCTTATACCTACTTTCATAACTGACACTGAAATCATTAATGCCACAATTAATCATCACCCTGTAAATTAATTACCAAGCATTTAACCTTTTGCAAATAATATTCACATCTGTATGAATATCAAGCCAAAAAAGAAAAAAAACCACTGTGTACTATTGTAGCTGTTAAAACACACATGAGAGCTTTGATAGACAAAATTTACAAGCTATTTTTAAATGCCTCTTAAGCAAAGTCACAATTATCACAGGGTGAGTAGAGAATTGTTAGCTGTGCATTTAACAATCACTAAATGAGTTTCTTCCAGATGAAAAATGGAGTATATACAAATGGACAGCACTAAAACATTAATGAGCACAACCAGACTTTGGACTCTTGAGTTCATCATAGATTACAGCTGTATATTCAACCACTAAACCAATCATAACCTCAATCAAAATTCAAATCTCATCCCACTACCAAAATCAGACTCACATGCTTGAATCACTTTTCCAGCTGTAACTGTGGTTCCTTCATAATATATCCACAAAGGAAAGTATCTGCTGTTTTCTAGCTTGAAAATTAAAGATAATTGGTTTTATATTTCAATTGGCAGAATTACAAACTATTTTCTTTTTAAACAGTACAGCCTCAAAAAAGCTCTAGGTAGGTCTGTGCACTGTAAACATACAGAATATTTTATCAAAACACATTAATCCCACATAAAACTATTATCAAATCAATCAATAGATTTCTTTTTCAAAAATGACACACAGATTGAGTTCTTAAATGACACTGAAATGACACTGAAGGAGGTGGAAGTAAGTTTATCACTGTGCATGATGCTTGTTTGAAGTTGCATTTCTTAACATTGGAACTGAAAAAGTCCTAGTGCAATAACAGTTTTCTGTAGGATAACTCCAACAGCCTTCTACAGGAGCTCCTACACACGAAGTCCTGCATACTGTCCTCCTAGTGCTTCATATCGAACCTCCTTGGAGCGACAGAACAGGATGCAACTACAGATCATGCCCAGGACCTGTCAACCAATGAAAAGACATTATTATCCTTAAAAAAATAATATGAGTCAATATGATTGAGAATATGTCATGTACAGGGAGATAATTCATGATGTCTCCCTCTCCCTTTAGATGACAGTAAAATAGTGCAGGGTAACTCTGATATATAAAATATATATTATTTTATATATCTAACCAGGCTTTTTAGTTTCATGCAGTTGTAAGTGCAACATAACACCTATCCTAAGTATTGTAATTTTGATACAAAATTAACATATATTTCATTATCTGTAACGTTTATGGGTCTTAAAATGTGCTTTTAAGACAATAATTAGGAATAAACGCTGAAATGGCTTTCACAACGTCACTGTTCTCGGGTCGTAAGTAATGCATGATGCTGAAGAATGACACAAAACTCGCTTTAGTATTCAAGACGTCCATGGGCATTTTATTAAAAACTGTTGACAGAACATCAAAAGAAATATGCCAGGAATCTAAACATTGTAATTCTTTTTACCAAAATAATTCATATCTGCGCCAATATATACAAAATATATACCGCAATATGGCAAATTTAGAGGCACTGGGCATTGGAAAAAAACTTTGTAATAATACCTAGACCAACCAGATGGTCAACCTTTTTTGAAATTTTACAATTTGGTGACTTTTTACAATAACTTTCAAGTATTTGACTGAAAGGAGATCTCCAGCGCAGAAATACAAAAAATATGGGAAAATGTGATAATTTGGCATTTTTTCCAACAAATTCTCTTAGGGTCAAATAGTAAAATTCGACAACTTTTGAGATGGCCCCCTAAGAAATCAGGATGGTAAACATTTGATTTTTTTTTATCTTAAAATAATTAATATAATAGTAAAAATTCATTCAAGAAAATTTATCAAAATATCTAGGGCAGAAATAATTCCAGTGGTTCTAGAAGAAAAGAATCAAAAATGTGAAAAGTTAACAGACAGAGGAACAGAAATAAAGAAGTATGGATGTCAGACAAACTGTGATCAGAAAAGCTCTCGAAGTAAAAAAAAAAATCCTTTCACTTCCCGCTTGATTGCAATACAACTTATGAAAATGCTATCAATAGTTTTTTTGATTGTCTGAACTCCACTACTGTTTAAGGAGATGCTTATTGGGGGGAGAGGGGGGGTGTTAATCAAACTGAGTTAAATCTTACCAAAATCACAGCTAGACCAATGGCAGTGCCTGCAATGTAGGCCAAATTGGACATGAATTCATGTTCTAATTTCTCATAACACCCCTGTAAAAGAATAAAAAGTTTTAAGTGTTGGGATTTTCATTTTTTACTCAAATTATTTCTGTTAAATATTTGCTTTGAGATTCCTCTCTTTTATTTAAAAAGTAACTATATCTTGCAAATTTAACTCAGGTTCAACTATACCTTCACTCTTCTTACCAATAGACTTATTATGCTATAAGAGTTATAAATGTTATTTATTTTACCTTCTGGTAGATGTATTTTGGATTATAGATCATTTTTCGCTCTTCCTCTGTACAGTTAATGTCAGCGACACAGCAGCTTTCTGGAACAGTTTTGTTGGAAGTTGGGGCCCAGGTCTTAGCACTCAGCCAATCAGAGGCATTATTTACACCACAACACTTCAGCTGTAATTTACGTAATAATTAAAATAAACTGATCCTTGTTATACCCATTATAAAACTGTATTTTAAAATAACTTTTACAAAAATACTTTCATCTCTAAATACAAGTTTGCAGAACCTCATCTGCAAACATATAAACCTAGCTTTCATAGAATGTTCATTTGAATACTAGCAATCTATGAAATATGACACTACATGAATTTTCCTTCCAATACAGAGCCCTTATTTTCCATAAACCCAGTTTTAAATTTCTTCCTCTAAAGTTTCCCAAGTATATTACTATTTTACTGCCCAATGAATTTAATGGCCCAGTCCTTGCATCCTTTTTTAACCCCTACGCTGTTCACCAAACCAATGATGCCCCGGTTCATCAGAGTCCATCTATTTTTAAAAGATCTGGCAATCAGTAGTTGTTAGATTTTTTTAACCATCATTCATCTAATAGGTGAATTATGATACAAGACTTAACACTACCCATGCTACTGTTCCTGGAATCCTATGTTTCTGTCCACCCTTCAGGCTTTTCCCAAAATATGATCCCCCTTCAATGAATCCATACTTCTCTAATTTTATACCTCCCACTTCTTGTAGGTATATATAATATAACAGTCCCATTATTTCATCTCATCTACCCCTCAGCTGATCTCTGAACTCGTAGACTACCTACATGTACCGTTGTCACTAAGACTACCTCTGGTTTTCTCTCATTCTTTCACCCACTCTTTCCCCAGTGTATAAATACAGAACACTAAGTATCCCAGTCCCTGAGTCTTTCCCTTCTAATCTTTTGTATGTAGTTCTTCTCTTTAACTTACATTTCTCTGTAGATAATCCACCTGGTCTCTCTGGGTACTGTTTGAGTTGTAAGCATTAATTGCCTTGTGTAATCCATTCTCCACTGCATTGGTAACCTAGACATAGGTAATGTATACAGTCAGGCAAGATATTTGATTTACCGGTACTGCAGCGAAAATGAATAAATGTATCATCTAGTTAAAGCCAGTCTTTGCCACTTCTCAATATTTGTTAATTTCTTTCTTATTCACTGAGAATATTTACAAAACAAACAAGAGCTCCAAGGGTCTTAACGGTCACCTGAGTTAAAACAATCCATAGAGGATCCATAGAGTATAAATTGAAAGCTGCAAAAACGAACCCAGGTTATACAATAGATATTAATTTTTTATCCAATCAAATGATGCGTTACAACCAAAATTAACTTATATTAAATGACTTATCATGGTTTTGTTGTTTTTGAGAAGATTTTTAAATGATCTTTTCTATATATTCCAAACTTTGATCACCTGTTGTACCAGCTCCCTACCCCAGGGAGTCAAGATTTGAACAAATATGAATTAACATTACCCAAAGATGCTTCCATATAAATAAGACAAATCATGACTTTGCTATTCTTGAGAAGAATATTGTTAAAGATTTTTCATATGTAATCATGTGTAAATCTTTGATCGTCCATTGTGGCCCCACTCTATCCCCAGAGTCATGATTTGAACAAACTTGAATCTATACTATATCTGAGGATGCTTCCATGTAAATATAACCAATCATGGCTTTGCTGTTTTTGAGAAAAGAATTTTTTGAAGATTTTTCCTGGGTATTCCAATGTAAAATTTTCATTGTCCATTGTGGCCCCACCCTACCCCCGGGGATACTGCTTTAAACAAACTTGAATCTACACTACCTGAAGATGTTTCCACATAAGTTTCATCTTTCTTGGCTCAGTGGTTCTGGAGGAGAAGTTTTTTCCAATGTATTCCCATGTAAAATTTTGATCATTCATTATGGCCCCTCCCTTCCCCAGGGGGTCATGATTTGAACAAATTTGAATCTACACTATCTGAGGATGTTTGCAC